TGAAAGCAAAATGCTGAAGAATTGCAACGAAGCAGACTACGACCGGATGGGGATGAGGATGAGGAGGATGAGGAGGTGTGGTGGTGCTGTCATGGTGTGGTGGGGACAGACGCAGAGGAGAGGCAGTCATTCTGCCCGATGTCAGGGGCATGAAGTTGCAATGAAAATGAAATTGCAAGCGGCCCATAGACATAGACAGCCGGGATATTTATACATGTCTGTCGCTGGCTGTGTGCGCGTATCCGTGTATCTGTGTGTGGTGCACATTATATTTAGTTACTTGTGTCTGGTTCTACTGCATTCTATGCGGCAGTTTCTAGATATGTATCTGCGAGATACATTTCAGTCGGCTAGAGAGCCCAGCGAGAACTCTGCTGAACGAACACCCAACACAATTCTCTCTGCGCTATTTTCGCTTTCAACGGATGATGCGACTGACGGTACGGACGAAGTTGCAACCCAAAATGGAGGACGAAGATGTGTGCAGCATGTATTGTACAATAGTATGCTGTCCGACCAGTTTCCGATTGTTGCAGGTTAATGGGGCTCTGAAGAGGGGCCTGTTGCCAAGACTAGAATAAAGTTTTATAGATGCATTTACATATTTCTCTTCTCCTGCGTTTTCAACTCTCTTTTAACCCATCTCGAATAAAGCGGAAACCTATATTGTGGCTTATGTCAGTGTTATTCCCAGTATTTCTATATCTCTTCGATGACATCCCCAGTTGTACTTCTATATTTATAAATCTTACAGGGAAAAAGATTAAGGTCAATATTGTTATAAAGATATTGTGTTTTCTGTAAAGACTTTTTAGATTCGGATGTATAGCCCTACATACAATACCCTGGGGTCATTTCTATACTGAAATTCTGAAAGGAAATTAACCATTTTACGGGGCTTCTAAGTACAAAGTTCAATGAGTTTTTCCAGAATCGAGACTACCGACTTTAAAGCTATACCAAGTGTATGTATGATATGGTCTGTTTCTAGGCGCAATTCGAACCGAAAGGTAATTGTGTTGCGTTGTATGTGGCCTGAACGAAACCACGGTAAATCGTAAGCTTTGATGCTATAGCTGAGCAAAAAAATCACCACAATGCGCTTAAATGAATAAAACAAGGTATTAATCCCTAAAATACACTCAAAAATCTCTGAATCACGGTGCTAAAAAGATTCGTTTGTCTTGAGTTAATGCAGGGGATATACATACATATACGAGTAAAAATCTGTAGGGTAGTACCTAGAGAACCTCTAGACTCCTGCATTAACTACCAAAAGCTGGCTGAAGGGGGACGGGTGGGGTAGTACAAGTCGCTAAACGAGTTAACCGCGTCGCTGGCAGAGGCAGTGGCAGCGAAGCGACGCCTCTGTGGAGGCCTACAAACACACATAGGAAACGAGAAGAACGTGGGCAGAAAGAGAGCCAGCGAAGGAGAGAGAGAAACAGACGCCAAGCGACCAGCAAGACGGAGAGAATCACACAACCGGAGAGCTTACATATGTAGTGGTGTATGTAAATGGAGAAAACGACAGCTAAACAAACAGCAAGAACAACAAAACTACAACAAGTAGAATGAGAAGAAGAAGCACAAAAAGAACAACAACTTATTGCTGTTCGCTTTCAGCCGAAGCAGACGATGAAAACAAAAAAGTACGTAAAAAAACCGACGAAGAGACGAAGAGCGCCATAAAGTAGAAGAACAGCCAGCAGCCGAGATGGAACAGAAAAACAGACAGACAGTCGGTCGCATGGGAAGACAGTCGACTCCACTCCGCCAAAAAGAGGATGGATGGAATGCAACTTACCGAAAACGAAACACAAATATTATTTACATTTAACACTTTGTATTTTTGTTGTTTTACATAGAACTCGCACACACAGCCACAAAACAAACTTACAGGCGGCTTTATGGGATTCTTCCGATTGTTATTCTCACAAAGAGTTTAAGGCCTAGTAATCCCTAAGAGCACTTTCATATAAACACACACTTCTTTTAGTAAGAGCGGTTATTTTCGTGGGATTTCCGTTAATTTCTTGGCATTCGCCTTTGCCGCACACGTACAACGTTTGGATTTTGATCAGCTATTCCGAAACTGTATTCATATACATAAATTTTTTTAATGATAATATTTTTGTAGGTGATATATTTTGTTTTGCCAATTTAGGTTGTTATTATAGGATTAACCAACGGACTTTTCTGAATTCAGAAGAAAATTCGACACTATCTACCTTTCCGTTGCCGCGGCCCAAACATGTTTCATTCATGTTCGCGAGTTTGGGGGCGGCAAGGCCGATTCTTTCAAATACGCCCGCCTTCAAATGTTGCTGGGACCAAAAATGTTGTTCGGCAAGGCAAAAAACGGTATGGACCACAAGTAAAACCGTCACAAATATACAACGCATGCCATACTTAACATACCCCAATGCTAAATATACTTTGAAGGTTTAAAATTGGAGCTCTCAAGAGCGAGAGAGCTCATTTTTGCGTATCGAGTATGAGCGGTGGGGCTGCCGCTTGCTGTGGGGCCGTTCGGGCTTTGAGCAGAGGCAACTACTAACACTGCTTATGGAACTGCTAACTCGGTCGATAATATGGTTTCTCTTGAATCATAAAGCTGCTCGCACACATCTACAGCTTTTGTCATTCGGTTGCCAACGGGTCCTGTGGCGCAATGGATAACGCGTCTGACTACGGATCAGAAGATTCCAGGTTCGACTCCTGGCAGGATCGAAGTTTTTTTATTTTTATCAATTTTATTTTTTGTATAAACTTTTATTATTTATTAAGAATTTATCAATAAAATGCTTACGGTAGGAATTATTTTGCCGCTTAATATTTAACGGGTCCTGTGGCGCAATGGATAACGCGTCTGACTACGGATCAGAAGATTCCAGGTTCGACTCCTGGCAGGATCGCAAAAATATAATTTTTTTTATTTAAAAATGATATTTGTGAGTTAGAATATCAACATAACTATTCGTATATATGAACAATATTATATCAAATAATCAAACAAAATATCAACAAACAAAAAAATGTACTTTCGCCCAACGTGGGGCTCGAACCCACGACCCTGAGATTAAGAGTCTCATGCTCTACCGACTGAGCTAGCCGGGCATTTGAGCGTACTATGGCAAAGTTTATTTCTGACATTCTTTGGATGCTATGGCTTTCGGTGTATCTTGCCATTGATTTTGTATTGACTCGATACTTTGTTCTTGTAGAACTACCGAATTTAGACGGTTGTGAGATTCTATTATTACAACGATATGTAGGTTCATTTACAAAGCTATATTAATGAAAAGCTCATATTCGAAAGCTTCAGAATCTTGGCAACCATTGGGCACAAAGCAGTCATGCGGTCCTGTGGCGCAATGGATAACGCGTCTGACTACGGATCAGAAGATTCCAGGTTCGACTCCTGGCAGGATCGAATTTTTTTTAATTTTCGTGAATATATTTAAATTTTTTATCGAGATATGGCGCTATTGGGTGTTTGCTTGCAGTAGTAAGTGTTGAATGTACAAGCGAACGATCGTCAAGAGCGTGCAGCAGGGCAAGAACAACTAGGTATTGTGTGTGACTGCTTCTCCATTAGCTTGGTACGCAAGCGAAAGAAACACCTTTTTTTTAACTTTCAGTGAATGGAACATGCTTAGGTTTCACTCGTTGTTGCACTAACACCTTACACCCCCATGGACGTGTCATTCATACGTGTTTGAGTGACTCTTTGACTTTTTTGCATCAAGGAAACACCAGAGGGGTGGAGCGTGGAACGACGCGACGGACATGATGGGATTTGGATTTCAGATTCAATGACAAAATACAGCTGCAGCTGCGGTGGCGGTGGCTCAGCGCAAATCAAATGGTGTCGTGTGGAGAGCGTGTGGATTATGTGGCGCTTTATGTTAAACAGCTGAAAGTTTCCACCCACCAACCAGGAGGGGTGAGGGGGCTTTGCAGCGGCTTAATGGGACGCCAAGGACATTTAAGGTGAGATTTAAACGACACTCTTTGCTTTTGTGCGTGTGACTGTTGTAAATGACTTTGAACAAACGAAAATATACATAGCGAGAAAAGGTTTTCAACGCATTTTGCAGACTTACGCTAAGAATTTCTCCTAACAAAAAATTGTAATCTTTTGAAAAAAATTCGATCCTGCCAGGAGTCGAACCTGGAATCTTCTGATCCGTAGTCAGACGCGTTATCCATTGCGCCACAGGACCGTTGAGTCACGCCGATACTAAGCTTTAATTAACTGCACAGTATTATCTTTTTGGAGAACGGTGAGCGGGGTCTATTGACCACTTAATAAACAAAATAGCATGTGTATAAATAAAACGAAAAAAAAACCAGTATAAACTCAAGAGTACGAGTATGAAAAGGTGAGAAAGACAGACAGATAGATAGATCGATCGAGAGAGAGGGAGAGATTATAATATGACTCGAAAGACCATCAATCGATATACAATCCCCAACGATGAGATTACTAAAGAATGAAGAAACAATAACAAGTCCAAAGACAAACAAATTCCCGTGGCGATAACACACAAAACTCTGATAGTAGCAACGTTTTCTATAAATTGTGTTCTGTATACGATTCTGGAGACCCGTTGTACAGGTCGGAGGAGTTCCCATCTAATCATGCCTCAACAAAGTAAGCCACACACGCTGACTGGCCCCCAGCAAAAACTAAATTCAAATCACTCGGAGCGCCAATTCATGCAAACATTTAGTCGAGTCATCGAGGCTAGACAAAAAAGTTAGCATTTCAAACATTATATAGCGTTTTTAGATACCCTTATCATGGGAAGGATGTATTGGCTTCGATGTCTGCCACTGTTTGGGAGAATTCGCATTGCTGATAAGCGAAAATGTTAGAGCATCTACGCCGTGGCCTACACCAATTCATATTCTTACTATCAGCAATGCTTTGGCGATCGTTTCGTTAAAAGCCCCTCCGAGAGATTGCGGGCAAATAGTCGCTCACTGCAGTTGCGGCTTTCAACATGTCCACTGAGCTACTTTTTCTGATCGCTACTGTGGCGATCGTGTTTTACGTGTGGCACAAGCGGCGCCACAGCTTTTGGAAGCGCCATGGGGTGAAGGAAATAGGGCCACTGCCCATATTGGGTGATACGGTGGGGTTCCTTACCGGACGGTTGCCGTTCTTCGACCAGATCAGGAAGTTCCACGAGGCTCCCGGCCTGGAGAACGAGCCGATCATCGGTGTGTACTTGGCCTATCGGCCAGCCCTGGTCATACGCGATCTGGACCTGGTCAAGACGGTGATGATCAAGAAATTCAGCTACTTCACCAATCGAAAGCTGCAAACGGATCCGCATGACGATGCCCTGGGCTACAACAATCTGTTCTTCGTGCGCAGCCCGGAGTGGAAGGAGCTGCGCAACAAGATCTCCCCTGTTTTCACCACTGGCAAGATCAAGCAGATGTATCCATTGATGGTGAAGGTAAGCACAAGAAGAATCTATAGGTCTATCGATTCAGGAATAACAATATTTCTTCTTTGCCATCCGCAGATCGGCAAAAATCTAGAGGCGAATGTTGGCCGTGAACCGAAGGATTCGATAGTTACGATCAAGAGTCTGTGTGCCCGCTTCACCACCGATCTGATTGCGACCATAGCCTTCGGCCTGGATGCTAATGCCCTGCAGGATCCCAAGAGTGAATTTTTCCGCCACAACCAGGCCATCTTTGCCCCGTCCGTGAGTCGGGCCATTGACTTTGCGATCATATTCATGCTGCCGGCTCTGACCACTCTGGCCAAGGTAAAGGTCTTCTCGAAGAGCGCCTCCCAGTTTATCCGGAGCAGCATCAACTATGTTATGGCGGAAAGAGAAAGGTCCGGACTGCGTCGCAACGATCTCGTTGATGTCCTGCTGGCCCTAAAACGGGAGGCGGCCGCCAGTCCGGACAAGAACAATAAGGCCAAGAACATGGACTATTTGGTGGCCCAGGCGGCTGTCTTCCAGACGGCCGGCTACGAGACCAGCTCCTCCACCATGACGCTGGCCCTCTACGAGGTGGCCAAAAACGAAGAGATTCAGAATCGCTTGCGTCAGGAGATCGAGGAATACTTCGGCGACGACGATCACATCAGCTACGAACGCATCCAGGAGATGCCCTACCTTTCCAAGGTGGTCAACGAGACCCTGCGCCTGTACCCCATCGTGGGATATGCCGAGCGCGAATGCGCCCAGCCCTCACAGGGCGAACGCTTCACTCTGGCTCCACACCACGACATGGAGCTGCCCGATGGAACACCCGTCTATGTGTCGGCCGTGGCCATACAACGCGACCCCAAGTACTGGCCCGAACCGGAGAAATTCGATCCGGAACGCTTCGATGCCTCCAACAGGGACAAACTGAACATGGATGCCTACATGCCCTTCGGTGTGGGACCCCGTAACTGTATTGGTATGCGCCTGGGTCTCCTGCAATCGAAACTCGGTCTCGTCCATCTACTGCGCAATCATCGCGTCCTGTGGTGCGATAAGACCGTGAAGACGATCGAATTTGCTCCCTTTTGTGGTGTTCTTGCCTCCAAGGATGAGATCTATCTGAGAGTGGAGAGGGTTTCTTCGTAGGTTCTGTGCTTTTGTTGTTATCTACAGAGTAGATCCGTTCCTATGTAAATATTGTTGCAAGTTTATAAATTGTTTTTCACGTATGCCCTCAGTCTCTATTCAAGTCAGAGCTTGGAGCGAAGGCCCTCAAATGTCAGAATGATTGCTATATGGCTCTCAAGTCATTTATTAGTTGTTCTATAACCTGTTTTATAGAGTGGGATTAGAATGGGATTAGGTAAATTACATTAATTATCTCCAAGTCCCACCCCCCCCATATTGGAGAGGGAGGTGACGCTTTGACAAGGCTATTGCTTGCATAACCGCTTAACCTTGGTCATATATAGATGTGTATATGTACGTCCCCTTATCCCTGGAACCAATACCACTTCTCATCTACTGTCAAGGACACCCCGTGGACAATTATCCTTCAAGGAAAATGTCATAATGGCTTGCCACAGCAGCTTGCTTGGTGGCAAGTTGCAACATAAAAACTTTTGCTTACTCGACGGATAAAAAGCTGCCACAACACAACACAGCTGTCGGATCCTTTTTGTAAGGACCATGTCGTGACTGGCTGTTGCTGTTGCCTTTGTGGCTGGTTGCACTCACACAGGCACTCATACCCATACCCATACCCATACCCATACCCATACTCGTCTCGCACTCATTCAGAATGAAAGCACTTAACGCACTTAATGCAATTGTCAATTTACTCTCGCCACGAGAGTTGACTTCCAGGGGAATCTGGGCAGAGGAGTCGGTCGCCTAATGAGCGGGTCCCATGGATTATTCACGTAATGGCCTTCAAGGGGTTGGCTAATTATAGATGAGTCCGGCCAATAGGGTTGTATTATCTGTCTGTCTGTCTGTCTCTTGATATACAATCAGTGCTGTGCTTGAATAATGAATGGTTTGGTTTCTTATTATTACTGAGGGTTTGTCTGTCTAAGCCTGGGATAGATTCAAGTTTGGAGTAGCTACAGGTGTATTTAGGTTACATATTCAGAAGGTAGTCATTAAAGAGACTTCTCTATGAATAATTGGCATAGTAAGGTTCTAAAGGGACATCTTTTATAGAGATTATAGAGATATCTTTCCAGTAGATAGACCAGATTTTGTTGTTGTTAAGAATTAAATGCATTCTATTTAGAGAACCAGGATCGTACTCCTACTAAAAGCTTATGAAAAACATACATTCAGTTAATGCGATTAAAGATTAGCTTGTAAAGATGGAATATTTAACGAATGCAAGAGTAATCCTATCCTACGCAAATTACCTCTGCTAATCCTGCTTTAGGAACTTTTAGCTCTATTTTCTGGGCCATTTCTTAACATTTCCTTGTCCCTAAACACGTTCCGCATGCACATAAGACATCGAAAAATTCACGTGCAACGCAACGTGAAATAAAATGACATCAAATTTAATGATAAACTACGGTTAAGCCAATTTACAGTTGAGTTGTTCTAAGGGTGCCACTGTTACTGTTACTGTCTCTCTTGCTGCAACTGCAACTGCCACTGCCAGGGGCACTGGGAAATGCGTGGCACGCAACAACTGGAATGACTTTGCACTGACCTTCGTGTCGGATTTGCAAGCGGGCCCCTACCCCCCACCCTCACCTAACCCCAATGGGGTATCGAAAAATCGCGTGCCAGTCTTTTATATTGCGTAACTTTTGCTACCTTTCGAGGGAGTGGCTTTGTCTTCCGATTGAATTGCAGCATTGCCACTGCCACTGCCACACCGAACCGAATCGAACAAGGAAAGCCACTCAAAACGACGAGGGGGGGCAGATCCACCTGTAGTCGTCCCCGCCAGATGCCTGATGGCAGCAGACCATTAGTTTTAATTAGCTAGTGGCACCCATGAAATGTCTTTCTGCTAGATTACGCTCGGATGTGATGCTCGGCTCCCAGCATCATAAACGAACTGAAGCTCAGATAAAGCTTTGCCTTGAGCCAGAAATTGCATGCAAATCGACATAAAATTAATAAACTCGCAAATTGCATGGCTCCCCCTAGTCCTTCTTACTGGTCTTCTAATTAGCTGGAAACTTTTTACCCCACGATAGTAGAACCCTGTGACAGCGAAGAGTACGAGTATATCGGGAAATTTGTTAATTAAGACGGAAGAAACGGGCTGCCTGGGTCACCCTGTCACTGTCTTTAGCTTTGATGACGGACATTTGGGGAAAGGAAAGGAAAGCGAACAAAAGGAACGACCACGACCACAACCCAAGGAGAAGGATACAATCTTAATGAAGCATTTGCAGTCGGTTGCAGTGATTTCTAGGGCATAAACGAGGGACCAAGAAAGGAGTTAACCAAACAGGGGCTTTAACGAAAGGAGGATCTTAAAAAGAAGGCGTTGAATACGAAGGCAAGTCACCATTCAGGCTCTAATTAGGCTGATTATTAAAACTCCTAGGTGAAGAACTTGATTTTCAGTCAAGCCGCAGCTTAAGAACATTTCAATCTCACACACAGACTAACACTAACCATGTCTCAATTATTTCAGCCTTGTCCAATCTCCCACGAATGACATTCAACAGAAGGACTCTGAAAGTGAGCAAGTTGAGGGTCCTAAGATGTATTTCTACGCCATAAAACAAAGCTAAGCGTTTGACGACCTTCGTTTTACGTGCTGCGAAAATGTTCAACAGCTGAAAGCCAAGAACATCCCACCAGTCCCTATCCCTCCGGCAAACGCATAAATTAAGTTAAGGAAGGAGCTGCAGGAGCCTTAGTCCGCTGGGGACGTTCGTTGCATTTATCCTGCTTGACTTTCTGTTGTCAGTGGGGGAGGGAGTGGTGTGTCCTTTGCAGCATCAAGCATCCAATTTAATTGCAATTTTTCCGTTTCCCTGCAACCAAGCAAAGACAAATAACCAAAGCTAATAGATCATGTCATCTTGTCAACAAGTTTCACCATTTAATTGTGCACATTCAACAAAGGGCAACCGAGAACAGCTCAATTTGCTCAACAAAGTGGAGAATGTTTGGGAAATTGCCTCACTTGTGGGTTCTTTTATATAGAAAGATAAAAATTCCATAAGCTGTTTTATTTATAGATTTATTTTCATAACATAAATATTCATGTTACCAACGCGGAAATACCTATTTATGTGGAAAGTTACATAAATACTCGTTTTTCTTATTCATAGAACTTTTTTATATCATTAGAAGAGAACCGATCTTCACCGCTCTCTCCCATAAATGAGCACTTTGCGGATGGTGAGGCAAGTGCCCGGCTAGCTCAGTCGGTAGAGCATGAGACTCTTAATCTCAGGGTCGTGGGTTCGAGCCCCACGTTGGGCGAAATCAAACTTTTTGGTCTTTTGTTTTGAGTTTGAATAAATTTGGAAAATATTCAGGAAGTTTTCTTAAATATTTTTTGAAATAAATATATTTAAATATTCGAAAACGTATTCAAATTGACAAATAATTTAAGCAAAAAAATTTAAAAAAAAGATACTCTTGCGATCCTGCCAGGAGTCGAACCTGGAATCTTCTGATCCGTAGTCAGACGCGTTATCCATTGCGCCACAGGACCCGCTGCTTTTGGGGCGTCTAAATACTGGCTTGCGTTTTTGAGAATATATGGAAAGGGCTTGGGGTTAATTTTAACCTTATGGGTATATGAAATTATTATAAATGGGACTTGTTGGTACTTTATTTTCGAAAGAAACAAACTCTGATTCTCTGAGAAGGAGCCTAAAACTTTATATTTATGCATTCAAATATCCATCTATCAACAGACCTATCGAAAAGAATACAAATTTAACAATCAAAGGTTTTGTATAGTGGGTGAATAAGATTTGGTGTCATAGAAAATAAAAAATTGTGGCCTTAATCGAGTAATATTTAACATATGATATATGTATATAAGAAAATACAAATAAAAAAGATATCTCCGATCCTGCCAGGAGTCGAACCTGGAATCTTCTGATCCGTAGTCAGACGCGTTATCCATTGCGCCACAGGACCCGTTGCTAATGGGGTGTGTGATTACACCCATCCGATATTGAAAAGATATGGAAAGGGTTTGGATTGAAGAAGATTAGGCAGCCAATGGGTTTATATGGTGTACACTGAAGAGATATTGAAAAATACAATATACATAAATTTATACAAAAGAAAGATATGGCACGATCCTGCTAGGAATCAAACGTGGAATCATGATAAAATCAAACTTTTAGACAATTTTGGAAAGATATTGAAAAAAACCCGACCACGATATTCTTTTATTCCATTGACATTCTGTTTCCCCCAGCCATGAAATGACCTTGTTCGCTATGCGAACCTTTTGTGCTGAATGGCCAAATGCAAATGCGAATCTGAATGGGGAGCCCCATTCACAGAAATCATATTACGCATACGCCCCCTTCCACACAGAATGCTCCAGCAGTTTTTGATTTTATGTCAATTTCCCTGCTCTCTTAAAGGGAATAGATTGTGGAATGCAGCGATCTGTGTTTGCACATTTCGTTGCTGCCCAATACCAAAGGGACTCGTAAACACTTGGCCAACACGCACACACCCACGCAAACAGACGGCACACACACAGATAGTATAGTCAGAGAAAGGAAGGAAATGTGCATTGAGATTGAGTGGGGGAAAAAGTTGGACCGAGGGTTCGGTTCAATCCTTGACCCGTCATAACGTCCCCCCAGCTGACAGCAGAGTTAAATGAGATATGCTTTTACATTTTTTCGATAAATTTCCTTACACTTGCTCGAGTCCGACCGACTTTTTGGATAGAGGGGAGGGATAACATTATTAGCAAGAGAAAACTTTAACATAAAAATGGCAAACGGATTTGCGCAGAGCTTGAAATTGAGATTTACTAGGGAGCAATATTTATGGCAAACGCCAAACTGCAAAGTGCAACGAGAAACGAGAACGCAACGAAGCTAAACCAATTTGGACAAAGTGCTTAGTTATCCCAGATTCCCGCTGCTTATCGGGGGGATCGGATGACAGTGATGAATGCGAAAGGCAATTAGGAGCCAAGGGTGCAAAAAGATGTATATATAAGGATAGTTGCACTCCGTATTGGCTTATACGAAGCAAAGATGCGTTCCCTGTCTCTCATCTGTCTGCTCTTCGGCCTGGCCTGGGCCCAAACGACGCCATCACCCGATGGAAATTCAACCTCTGACATCCAATTTTCTCCGTTCGTTGTTACCGATGGGAAGTACGCCCTGGGCACCTTTGCCAAGGTGAACTGGTACCAGGCCCAGGCCACCTGTGCCTCCTACGGCTACACTCTGGTCAGCATCACCACGGAGAGCGATCAGCGGGCTCTGCGCAATTTCCTGTACACACGCGGCAGCTCCCAGCTCCAGCTGCTGAACGAACCCGTGTGGACCTCGGGCACGGATCTGGCTAATTCCGACAACTGGATCTGGTTCAGCAACGGACGCACCTTCACCTACCGCAACTTCCAGCCCGGTTTCGATTACTATCCCAGCGGGTACAGGCACTGCCTGGGCCTCTATGCCATCAACAGTACCTGGGTGAACGAGGAATGCAGCGAGCAGCGCTACTTTGTGTGCGAGAAACGTTGCCTGTTCGACGACGTCAATTAGTGGAGATGTTGGTTTATAAACATACTATACATAAATCATTAAAATATTCAGCAGCAAAACAGAATTCAATGATTTCTGAATTTTCAAATGCAAAACGCTTCTGAAGCTTAAGTTCATAGAGGGAGAAAACGTCTGGAGCAAGGTGATCTCCCTGTTTGCAATTACTGGCGGATTGTCGGATTGCCCAAGCTGATGGAGAAAGTCTTGGAGGTGATTGAGGATGAGCTGGTGCCCTGGATCAATGAGAACCAACATTCAAAGGAGATTGTATTCAAATGTGTTGCTTTTTTAGAGCGGCATCAGGACAATACGCATGTTCTGCCTGACGCTGTAATGGGAGCATTTGAATTCGCCGCCACAATACCTGCAGCCGCGCCAACTCTCACTGCTACGTAACTCAGCTTAAAAGCTCTCTGCTTTCTTGGAGCGCAATTCAAATCTTACTTGGGTGCGGTGCCGTCCCATTGTTGGGCAGACGCTGGGACCTGCTCTTCGTGATGCTTGACCTCCAGGAGGAACAGGTCTGGCTTTTACTGATAGCACAAGTATCAACCCTGGAACGAATTTCAGCTCAAGGTTCAAGCTTTTTCTTAGCCCCCATGACAAATGTATAGTTGATATTGAAATTCCAATATCTTGTACTTTTGGCATTCAAAAAAAGTCCTAAACATATATTTGATTGTTGATGGTAGTGTCGTTCAACAGACAAATGTTCTCGCATATGAAATTGAACTTCTGATTGCAGGGTGCCGCATGCCACATTGTGTCTAGGCCCAGCATAAGGCAAGCATCGCTAGCATTCTCATCCGACGGCGGCTCCTTCTCAGCCCAGAGACTGTACGTCATGGGTAGCCCACTGCTCAGCCAGGTCCATGAGGTGTCGTCTTCCACCAGATTCGTGGCGCCCAACCAGAAGCGCTTATCGCCCAAGACATAATCTAGGAAAATGGGCAACATTAGAGGTTTCCTTTGGCGGAATGGGATTGGGGGTTTTCCAAGCCTTACTACTACGATTGACCCGCTGAAGCATCAGCAAATGTTGATCCGGATTGTTCACAGTGGCTAGGACGGCACCGACGCTGTTGCAAATGTAATGGGCCTCGAACCAGTTGACCTGAAGAGACCCAAAAGATACCCAGAAATAGCTAGAACTTAGAAGGTGACCAGGTCTTACCTTGGCAAAAGTCGCTACGGAATAGTGTTCATTGCATTGAACCAAAGGATTACAATCGTAACCGAATATCAACTCCAAATTAGTGTTGTTGGTGGCTACAGTGACACCACAGACGATGAGCAAAATGAAAAGCATTCTGAACAGAGGTGTCTGCCCCTAAGGGAAACCCTTTTTATAGTCTGAGTCTAAGGCTAAGAATCGCGAAGCTAAACCAATTTGGACAAAGTGCTTAGTTATCACAGATTCCCGCTGCTTATCGGGGGGATCGGATGACAGTGATGAATACGAAAGGCAATTAGGAGCCAAGGGTGCAAAAAGATGTATATATAAGGATAGTTGCAGTCTGTATTGGCTTATACGAAGCAAAGATGCGTTCCCTGTCTCTCATCTGTCTGCTCTTCGGCCTGGCCTGGGCCCAAACGACCCCATCACCCGATGGAAATTCAACCTCTGACATCCAATTTTCTCCGTTCGTTGTTACCGATGGGAAGTACGCCCTGGGCACCTTTGCCAAGGTGAACTGGTACCAGGCCCAGGCCACCTGTGCCTCCTACGGCTACACTCTGGTCAGCATCACCACGGAGAGCGATCAGCGGGCTCTGCGCAATTTCCTGTACACACGCGGCAGCTCCCAGCTCCAGCTGCTGAACGAACCCGTGTGGACCTCGGGCACGGATCTGGCCAATTCCGACAACTGGATCTGGTTCAGCAACGGACGCACCTTCACCTACCGCAACTTCCAGCCCGGTTTCGACTACTATCCCAGCGAAAACAGGCACTGCCTGGGCCTCTATGCCATCACTAGTACCTGGGTGAACGAGGAATGCAGCGAGCAGCGCTACTTTGTGTGCGAGAAACGTTGCCTGTTCGACGACGTCAATTAGTGGAGACCATGGGTCCTTGAATTTATCGGTGTTGGTTTATAAACATATTATACATAAATCAATAAAATATTCAGCAGCAAAACAGAACTAAATGATTTCTTCCTGACGCTGGTGATGGGAGCAATTTAAATTTTCCGCCACAATGACTGCAGACGCGCCAACTCTGACTGCTACGTGACAGAGTTTAAAAGCTCTATGCTTTCTTGGCGCGCAATTCAAGCTCAAATTATTTCTCCTCCGAAATCATAATTTTTTCCATGTGAAACACATGCAACGAACGATTTATTAAGTTTACAATTACATTTCAAAGTAACAGAAATAATTTTGAAGTAAATCTTAAATTTGTATGTTTTCTTTGCCATCTTTCGCATACTGAGGGTTCTGATCTTGCGGCGTGGCTGGGATTTCCTGCCATACTTGACACGGTCGGAATCCAGAAATGGAAATCTTACTTGATTGCGGTGCCGTCGCATTGGTGGGCAGACGCTGGGACAGAGTAATAGCTTGAATATCAGTCCTGAGCAATATGAAAAGCATTCTGAACAAGGGGTCTGCCCCTAGTCTGAGTCTAAGCCTGAGTCTGCGCGATAAGAATGCCATCAGAAGTCGCTCAAAAAGCCATTTACTTATCAAAAAACTTTAGTCGTTATTACTCGTGAATTTCTAGGAAAATATAAAATTTTTTATTCAATAGCAAAAATTGTAAACGCTTTACAAACTTGTCCCCAGATTTCTTAAGATTCAGTACAGGCTAAGCATATCATCAGGCCTATGTAGGTTTAGGTGTCTGTGTCTGTGGCCCAAGGAAGTGGCCCCTAAAAAATAATAGTTATTAAATATTCAGCGTTGCTTTTGCACTATACAAAACATATATATATCATCATCATCATCTTCATGTCGTCTTTACAATAATTATATTTATATTTATCATCATTGAACACTAAAGCTAGAAATTAATTTAAATAAACACTGATATGGGGAAGGAACCCTAAGTCTGACTCAAGTAACATGTAGACATAATGCTAGCATATATACTATACATATATTAGTATTTGTGTGTAGATGGTACCTTAAGTTGTGTGACTTGGGAGCTCGTTTCTTCTGCTGAATGAAATGGTTTTCGCATAAATAAATCGATCATTTTCAATTGTTTCACACTGTGGGAAACAAGAGTAGGGTTTGTCTGTTTCCTAATCTGAGTATTCTACATAGTGTTCCAAATGCGGGGCAAGCTACTACAGAATGAAGACAAAATCGGTTGAGAGAGAGGATACGTACAGAACCACCTGCTAGTGTGTAGTTTCATTAAAGATCTCCTAACTTAACTAGTATAGTATATCATGTTGACAAGACAATTAGCTCTGATCTTCTCTGCTCTGGTCCATCTCTCTATGTAGATTCCTGTCCGTTACGCCAAACAAACATCTCGCTCTCTCTCTCTCTCTCCAAGGATATCCTCTTCTCTATGGATCATTCTTTTAGTGATAATAATCCCCATATTGGTATGTGGGAGGCTGTTTCGTGGCCTTGCCGTTCTTCTGTGGCTGGTAGAGATTGTGATGGGAAGACGAGCGGTAGGCGAAGCTGGGCGGGGCAGTCTCTGGTTGTCGCTGGGCTGGGGATTGGGTGCGTCGCGCCCGACGCTCCTCGATATTCGCCGGCCAGCGCTGGTGGTGGCGCGTCGAGTCCTCAGAGGAGCGTCGGCGGTGGTACCTTTTGGCCGAGGACGAGTTCCCCAGTGGCGGCTGAGCCGCAATCGGGGATGAGTCCCGCCCTGACTGCTGGCGATAGCTGCCCTCATCGCCACTGCCTCCGCTCAGCACTCGATCATGGGGATACTGGCGCCGCAGGCGCTCATCCACGGAGGAGTTGGGGGTGCCCTGCATGTCGATGATGTCCCCGTGGGAGTTGCGACGCGCCCGCTGCATGTCCAGGTCGTAGTTCTCGTATGGACTGCGTCGCTGCCGGCTGCGCTGCTGCTGCTGCTGTTCGTGGGCGTCCAGGCGCTGCCGCCACTCGGCTGCCGACACCTGCTGGCCGTAGAGATCGGGCTGGGCCTGGAACTGAGCTTGGACATGGCCAGCGATGATGCTGCCATTCGGGCCGCCGTAGATATTCTGGTAGGAGGAGCGACGCCAGCCCTCTTCGTAACGGCGGCGGGGATCCTGTGCGGCCTCCTCCTCGGCTGCGGCATTGGCCAGCTGCTGGCGGCGCTGCGATCGACTGGAGCTGCTCTCCGACGAGTCCTCGCCAGAGGTGCCCAGGCCCTGGTCCTTCTCGTCCACGCCATAGGCCTTGTAAGGAGCTCCGAGGAAGCCCTTGGAGCCATAGGGTCCATTGATGCCCATGGTGGGGTACTGCATGTAGTACGACTGGGAGAAGGGCTTCTCCGGCTTCCTCTCGTCCAGGCTGTCGTCGACCTCAGCCTCGCTGCCATCGTCCCGACCCGTCCAGGTCAGGCAGGAGCCGGGTCCGAAGAGGGAGAGCAGCACAGGCAGCAGGAACAGGCCGTGCATTGCCCCGAAGAAGATCACCAGGAAGACCATTTTAAAGAAGACCAGGAAGATGTAGCTTTGAGCTAGTAGTAAAGCCACAATACCGAGAATCGTGGAGCTGGATCCCTGGATGATGGGCAGGCCCAGCGAGTGGAGGGCCTCGCGGACACGGGCCTTGGGACTGCGCTTCTTCGAGGACATGTAGGTATAGCAGATGTGGGCGGTGAAATCCACCGAAAAGCCGATGCACATAATCAGGTTGATCATCGAAATCGAGTCGAGATTGACGTCCCACAGGGCCATGTAGCCGGCGACGCCCAGCTCAATCGAGATCACGGAGAAGGCCACCCACAGCGAGCAGAGGATGTTCGGTATGAAGATGAACGAGATGATCATCATGATGATGGCTCCGATGACCATGGCCTGCAGCGAGACGGGACGCACCAGCTCGAACTGATCGAAGAACACGAAGTAGGGATGGAAGATGGAGGCATTCAGTGGCGAATCTCTGCAGATCTGGCGCAGATCCCGCACCATTTCCTTCTCGTGATTGGTATCCGTAATGTTGACGGCCTGAATGAGGAATCGCGAGGCAATGATCTGGGTCTCATCGTCGTTGAAGCGCACGTCCAGCGAGAAGGGATTGCCGGGGAAGAGCCAGTGCTCTTTGACCGCGTCGATGAAGGATTGTTCGTCATCGACGGTGGCATTCAGCAGCTCGGTGTTGCGATCCAGGAAGGAAAGGAAGGAGCGCAGCCAGGACTCGGTGTAGCGCCTGGAGGTCACATACGAGGTGTGCTCCAATGTGCTCGTCAGATTCTCCACCTGCTCCTGCACCAACGGATCCGAGTAGTTCAATGGCCCGGCAATGATCACCTGCAAAGAATGAGGATCTGATCAGAACTGGGGGACTAAGGAGATCTTTGGACACCACTCACCTGCATTCGGTAGGGAAACTCGCGGTAGTAATCATCCTCACGATCGAAGAACTCCACGGAGTACGAGTCCTCACGGGAGAGCTTGCGCCGCTCGAGACCCTCCTTGATCTGGGTAATGCCGTAGCAGGCCCCCACCAGATAGCTGGCAAAGGCCAGGATGATGATGACCTTGCACCATTTGTTGTTGATCACAGCGGACATTTTGTCCTTGAAGAAGGCCATCAGCATGTGATCCTTGTTGTCGATGGGATTGTCGGGATCCGCGGGATCGATGCCGCCCGCCATGATCGCCTTGTAGAGGAAGTTGCGTTTCTCTGCAAAGCGGCAAAGACAGACAGACAAACAGAAAGAAGTGTGAACAACTGAGCGGTAAGACAAGTTCCCATTGACCTCAATTTTAGCCAGCATTTGCAGCCACTAGTCTAGTTAGTCACGATCAAGTTCATGTTGCAGCTGCTGGCTGCAGCTCCGCAATCTCTGAGCCGGTTGTTGTGGTTCTCTGTCCACATTTCAAACTCTAGCCGAGTGGACTTTGTAGCATGTGCAACAGACAAATCAAAACAAAACAAAAGCCCCATCCCCATCCGATTTGGGCAGTTCACTCACCTTTAATGGCCACCGACATCGGCTGGACCCGGCAGCCGAATATGGAATGCAAATTCTTGCGCTCCCTGTACCCCGAGATGGCCATGCAGGCGGCAAAGAAGGTGATGTGCCACATGAACGTGAAGCAGACGGCGAACACCGAGTAGGTGCAGAATATCTTCACCGATCGGAAGGGACTGATGATGCCAATCAGAAACGAAATGAAGTCAGTGACCGAGGTGATGGTGATCGACACCGCCGCCTCGGACATCATGTGTCCCATGCGTTCGGCCACCGGCATCTTGGCCCTTGTCCGCCGCCAGGCAGCCAACATCACAAATGTGTCATCGATGCCAATGCCTATAGGAGAGAATCGGCTTAGAGAATGGGAGAGATTTTTGTGTTTATCCTCTGTTTACCAATCATCAGGAATGGGGCGGCCAGGTTGATGCCAATGAACTCGATGCCGCAGTACATGGCCAGGCCAAAGGCCGCCAGTGTCGCCATGATGGCCGAAATATTGCCCATCAGACCCAGGAAGGGCTTGGATCGCACGGCATCCCCCATCATGCAGGTAATGATGCTGAAGAGACCCATCAGCAGGAAAGTGGAACTGAAATAGGGCACCACTGTCTTGGTGTTCTTCTCCAGCTCGTGGTCCAGGGTGCGTGAGGCGAAGTACGACACCGAGATGTGCTTGAACAGTCCAGAGTCCTCGGCGTGTCCCACCACCCGCAGGAAGGTCTCCTCCCATTCGGCGCCTCTGCAAGACACATTACATTACATTAATCTCCGAAACAACCTATGGATTTCCGCCACGGAACTCACTTGGCATCCTGCCGCTTGGTGTCGGCGGTCACGAAGTATACCAGCTGTATGGCCGGCACACTGATCACATAGTTGTCTTCCGTTAGCTTTGTGCCGCCAAAGAAAACGGGAAATAGATGGGCATCCCAGGTGACGGGATTAAACATGAACGGAAACGTGAGATTCAGTTGTCCCGTCTCAAGCTAAAAGGAAACCCAGATGGACATGGAATTAGCATATTATTGGATAAGCGAATGATTCC